ATGAATCCTGGTAGGATTTCTAATTCTCTCAAAATCGCCTCACTGAATAGGTTGAATGTCCGGTGAGAAGACACAACTTCGTTTTCTATCTGCACGCAGTGAATCAGAATTAATAAGGCCATAATAATAATAATTTTTCATTTAAAAAATCAGATAGAAATTCAGTTTTTCGATTGAAGCAATCTTAGGCACCTTTATCGAATCGTCAGAATCGCTTTACTGTATAGGTTGAATAAGTCCGGCGAGAAGACCCACCGTTGCCTTACACTCCTTTCTATTTTTGTATATCGGCTGAACTCATTTTCTATCCGTACGCTGGTGGTTTGCTACCACTATAAGGTCTTGATAAGATTTATTGCGTAAAATACACAATTGTGGCACAAGGCCGAAAAGTGGGGAATCGGTTTGAGGCTGGTCGTCACTAACTATCCTATAGCTAGCTAATCCGATTCACGACCCATTCATTCGTTACAATTGATACATTCACCACAAAAAACTCATCCATCTAGCTTCCATATACCATAATACCGCATACTCTCTGAGGAGACCTAAAAACGCTCCCCATGACATAATTTAATTTCATGATTAAAAAATACTATACATAAAAATTAAATATAAATTCGTGATTATTCTAATATCTTTCCCAAATATGTCATGGTTGCTAAGCAATTCCAACAGGTTTGTTGACGTCATTTTTTGAACGCTTTTGTGTAATCTATAAAAGACAGGTATACGTCCTTCTGTATTTACCTTGTCCTTTTCTGATATGGTTTTGATTATATCTCGTTTTCTTGTATCTTGTTTCTCGTTAGAATAGGCAAGCTTTGTGTACCTAGTTAATGTGAATAAGTTTTGTTCCTGGCCTGTTCCTGGTTACATCTTTGGTAATGATCCAACTTAAGATTTCCAATCTCCCCAATTTGTTTTTGGCCCCCTTTCATATCGATTGGGTCAGCTTTCTTTACTCCCCATGTCAGTATTAATTTTCTCCTTTCCCTCTTTCTTAGCAAGAGAGCCTCTTGATTTTGTCTAAGGGCAGAATACAGCGGCTTCTCTTTTTTTAGGGTTGGACGTGCCTGACTAATATCAGTTATCTTTGTTTTATTTGTTTTGATATTTAGTTTGTTTATGGGTTCATCCCCTCCCGTCTCATTGTAAATCATCCATAGATTTTTATGGATAAATTTTTATAATCATCAAATTTTTATGTCACGGGACGCGTTTTTTGTAGATCCCCCTGAGAGGATGTGGTATTATTGTATATGGAGGATTGATTGGTGACGGATGAGTTCTTGTGGTGAATATGCGAATTGTAATAATTGAATGGGTCGTGAATCGGATTAGTTAGTGAAGACAAGCCTCCACCTATCTCGTCCTTTTTCGGTCTTGTGCCACAATTGTATTTTATACAATGAGTTTCAATATCTCGTTTCTTAAATTGGTGAAAAATTTTCTAAGAGACGACTGTGGTGCCAACAACTGTGCCTCGACTTTAGTTGCATTCTTTGAATATACCAACCAAAAGAAAAAGGGTGATTCTTGTTACTGACTCGAGAAATGTAAGCCAGTTAAAAGACAGACCTAAAGGCAGGCACCTAAAAATATCAGCGTTAAATAAAAATGAATTTCCTGCATTTTTCTTATTATGTGTATCAATATTCTTTTTTAATAATTTATATCACTCCTAATCCTTTTCTTCTTCTATGTTCCGTGTCCATTCAGGATGTGGACAATCATGACACTCCACAACTTCCTATCCCTTTTAACTCTTAGCAACATTTGATTTTTGCCACCCCCCCCATTTTATTCCGTCTGCTAGGTGCTCGGCTGGCTTCCTCTCTGTCTTTTTCCTTCCATATATCCTGTGAGTATCAAATTCTCCAAGCACTCTTTCCGCACAATATGCCCCCACCAAAAAAAAAAAAATTTCAGCTCCCACATTTTTCATCCTCTGTTAAAACAGATCTCAGATATTCAAACTTTTGGTTAAATAGAAATGCTATATTCTGGCGATTTCTTCTTCCGGTTGCGTATATTCAAATTCCGGGCGAGACTGTTGCATTCATTTTCGTACAAATGCCTTTGGGGAATGTACAAATCCGTCTCTTCTTCTCCTATTGATGAAGTAAATTGATGTAATGAATATGCATACACCTGGGTTCCCACCTCACAGTAATATGATTGGCTGGTGTCAGCCATAAATACAGACTGATGTGGAGGAACATGGACTACAACTATTGACTACACCTATAGTCTTCGCCTATTGCCTATGCCTATTGCCTACCAGTACGACGAGGACCAGTCCATTACGGTTACCCGCTAGATTGTCCTACCCTGTTAGAGTAGTCAACAACCACTTTGCTACTTCGAACAAATATATCCCTTTCCGGGACGTATCATAAATATATATTTATTTTACTTATTTTATTCACCCTTATTGTCTCGACGCAATGCACAATGAATTTGGATATTCAAATAATAATAATATCATGGTGCACCAATACCCCCCACCAAAATAAATAAATAAAAGTAAATATCAGAGTCTGTCTATATTTCTGAGATGAGGTACTATGTAGATTATTTACATTATTCGGATTATTGTCCTCATCTTTGTCACCATATTTATCACAACGTTTCGGCCGTTGTACGCTCCGGCCTTCTTTAGGTTGTTGGAATGTCGAACTGAACCCTTTATTTCGCTCACTGGGGTAGACTGTTTTAGTACCACGTGCCATGTTTGATGGATGTCAGTTATCAGTTAACTCCTGTTAATTTTCCCTCTGAAAGTTCTCCACTGCCATAACCGGGTATTGAACTCACACTCTTTGGGTCCTGTCACTGGATCGAAGCAACGCCTTTATCCACTGTAAATAATGTAAATAAATATCAAATGAAGAAAAGTAATAAAGTTTAAAATCCTTTGAAACTTGTCAGCGTGTAGCAGCGTTCATTTTACGTAGGGCCCAAGGATAAGAGATGTGCCGCGAGTGATTTGTTCTAGAATGAATAGAATATTAGTGGCCAAACTTGACTAATGTAAGAGCCGGGTAAGGTTTTATCGTCTCTTCGGGCAGTGTGCGACTCAGTTGCGGTTCCGTTGGAGGAGAGATGCGCAACTGAGGAAAAACACACTGTCAGATGCCCAGCCCTGGGGAACAGATGCCCGAGGCTGCACCCTATCATACCACCAGAGAGAGGGATCGGTGCTCGTGCCCAGGCAAGCGAAACCGACGGTTGCTGGGGCTCGGGGAATTTTTGTTCTTGGCCCGAGTGTAGGTGCCCGGGTTCCCCACATAAAACCCGACCTTGTGTCACATCCCGTCTCAGGCCAAGGTAAAAATTCCTACGATAAAGTTTAGACGTTTGAGAGCCGCAAGACATGAACAAAATTTATACAAACGCTTTTCTTATATACAAGTTAACGTTAAACTTACGTTTTAATCCAAGTAAATACCAAGTAAATAATTACAAAGCTTGACATTTTCTTATTCACCTTTTATAAGTATGATGCAGAAAAGATCGCCACCAATATATTTCCACGAGCCGCATATTAAAGGTTAAAGAGCCGTATGTGGCTCGCGAGCCGCGGTTTGGTCACTCCCCCCTCACCTTGTAATTGAATTAAAACATCGCTTTGAGGGTAACAGTTCAAACAAGTAGTACCCGGGATGCGTAGAATTAAAATTGTCCTCCAAAGAGGGCAGCGTGTAGACGATTATTTCCTGGGAAAGATCTATAACCCCATTTGAGGGATCTGTTGTCCGCTGCCGAGCAGCATGTTTGCCAAACAGTGATCCAGTGCATCAGCATACTGTCAGTACTGCCGCGTAGGCTGGGTTCTCTAGCTGGGGGATTTCAGGTTATCTTGCCCTAGACACTCCCTACTGCTGCTGCAGACGCAGTACATATGGTAGACCTGTGATCTTGAGGTTGATAATTTGATAAGTTTACCAAAATTGGGTCGTTTGATAAAAACAGAAAGAAGAATTAAAAATAAGCGAAAAAGGAAAAAGAGAGAAAGAAAACGTATGAAATAAATGATAAAAGGAAAGTGGAAGAAAAAGAAAGAGAAAAAGCAAGGCATAGAAGGAAAAAAATACTAAATAAAAAGAGAGACGAAGAAAGAAAATGAAGACAAAAAAGTATAAACGTAAAAAGAGGAAGGAAAAAGGAGAGATAGATAGATAGATAGATAGATAGATAGATAGATAGATAGAAAGAGAGAAAGAGAGAAAGAGAGAGAGAGAGAGAGAGAGAGAGAGAAGATCAAACAAAAGGTAGTAAGGAGAGAAAGAAGGAGAGAAAGAAGGAGAGAAAGAAAGAATATCGGAATTAGATAGAATATATATAAGCCAAAGGTAAGAAAATAATAATGGATAAAATAAAGATAGATTTTTTTTTAAGCATTACGCCCCGAGCAAGGTGTGAAGCCACTAGGATGCAGGGGGTTGCAGAAGATTTGGAGCGAGAGCAGATAGGAGTGATAGAAGAAAGAATGAGAAGGATAGTGGGTAGATCAAGGCAACTGGAGATCTCGATTGACATTACATTTGAATAGTTGGAGATTATAGCTCTCAGGGAAACTGGAATAGAGAAGGGTGTTCCACAGGCGAGAGGTGCGAGGTATGAAACTATTGGAGTATATATATATATATATATATATATATATATATATATATATATATAGGAAAATAATAAAGGGGGGGAAGAAAATGGAGAAAGAGTAAAAAAAAAGGTGAAAAATATATATAAAATAATGGGAGAAAGAAAGAGAGAAATCCAATAAAAATAGAAAAGAAAAATAAAGAAAATATATAAAATAAAATGACAGAAAAAGGGAGAGAGAAAAACAGAAAATCGTAAAAAAGAAAAGATAAAATATATCAAATAAAGGGGTGAAGAAAAAAGAGAGAAAGAAAGAAAAACAAATAAAAATAGAAAGAAGAATAAAGTAAAGGGAGAAAGAAAAGCGTGAGAAAAACGTAATATTAAGGAAAAAATTAAAAAAAAAAAAATTTAAGAGAGAAAGAAAAGAGAGAAAGAGAGAGAAAGAAAGAAAGATAATCGAATAAAACGAGAAAATAGTTAAAGAAAGAAAGAAAGAAAATACATGGAATAAAACGATAAAGAAAAAAAGGGATCATAAAAGAACATCGAAAGAATAAGAAAGAAAGAACATTTTTAGAAGAAAAGAATGAAGAAAAAGAAAGACAGCAAATATATAGACTACAATGACGAAGAAAAAGAGAGAAAGAGCGAATATCGAATATAGATAGAAAAAAAGAAAATATATAGAATAAAATGAAGAAAAAAATAGAGAACACGGATATAAGAGAGTTGTCGGGACCGGAGAAGAAGTCTCTTATATCCAGGTTTCTCTTATATCCGGGTTTGGTCTATTTTGTTTAGGTAAGTATGGGAACAATTTGGGACCAGAGAAAATCTCTCTTATATCCGGGTTTCTCTTATATCCGGGTTACGCTGTATATAAAATACATAAAAGGAAGAAAAAGAGGGTAAAAGAGAACATCAAGCAAAAAGTAAAAAAAAGAAACAAAATATATAAAATAAATCGATGATAGAAAAATAAAAAAAAAGAGAAAATATCTAATAAAAACAGTAAGAAAAAGAATGAAAGAAATATAAAATAGAGAGCGGAATAAAAGAGAGGGGGGGAGAGACTATCAAATAAAATGGCGGAAGACAGCAAATGCTTGACAATTTAAACTGAAATAATCAAACTCTAGGCCGAACTTTCAAATATAATTTCCCTGTGTCAATCGAATCGATTAGAAGGATCTTTAAAATGACAACCAAATTTCTATTTCTATCTTTTCCTTAAAAACAATATTTTTTCGTGTTTTTCCCTTGTGGTTTATAACGTCGCTTTTGATTTGCTCAACGAGGCTCTTCGAATGTCTATACATATATATATATATATATATATATATATATATATATATATATATATATATATATATATATATATATATATGTGTGTGTGTGTGTGTGTGTGTGCTTGAACGAACGAATATATATATATATATATATATATATATATATATATATATATCAATTTTGTAATATTTCATATAAATACACTCATACCGATTTACCTATAAGAAAGATGATAGAAAAGTTCAGCACGGAATTTAGCCAGCCTTTGTGACTATTTCGAAAAAATATTACTTAACCTCGATCAAATTTTTGAACAATTAGAGAGAACCTTACTGCACATGGTGTAAGCATGCACTCTCCATTGGGGTCTCTCAATCCTTAATAAAACGTCATTCAGTGAAATATACTGGGTAAATACCGTTTTAGTGTGCTGTCTCGTGTAGAATATTCCTTTATGCGTGCCTTAACTTTGTGAGCTCCGATCTCAAACTCCAGACTCGGCTCTCGACGAATTGTAGCCTTTCTCAAAATTAAAATCGTTGAAGACAAGGAGATTAAGGACAGCGGATATATATTTATGATTAAGGCCAGACAGATGATAGTAATCGCAACACATTTACCATGTGCCACGTATTTTTTACATTAATCACTCATCCAATTTTGTTTGTATGGCAATGACATACTAGTCAGGAGCAGAACGTCTCTCGCCGCTGCTAGTAAACAGAGCATGTTTAAGATTGTGGCTCGATAATTTTTGAAACGAAATGATCACAAAACATCACAAAGTAACCACCTACATTGAGTGTCTCTTGGGTCTTGTATTAGTTGAACATTAGTACAAAAATATAAAAAATGTGGGTTATTATTTAAAGAAGTAAGAGGGTACAAATGAAGAGAATAAATATTGACAAAGCTTTTAATTTTATTGAAGCAGACGTTAAAAGCATGAGAGCGTTATTATCTCCTCTATCTTCCCCTTATTATGATGGAGGAATGGAAATTACATTTATTGAAAGGTAAAAGGATAACGTTTTAGGATCAGCGACAATTTAGTCTCAAACATGAACCAAAAATGTCAAGAGTCACCCTAGAGTACATGTTCCAGATGCCAGCTGTTCAGTTGAAAACGCTGTTGAACGCAAAGTTGTTTATAACGCGTGCATATTCCTCCTCGATGGCTGCCTTCTATGCAGCAATAGTGCGAGGGTTGTCCTGGTAGATGTTGTCCTATAAGAACACCCAGAGGAAGAAATCTGTCGGTGTCCAGGTCAGGCGAGGGATGTGTCCGTTCCACTTCAGGTTAGCGGGCCGATGAAACGCTCCGAAAACATTTCACAGAGCGATGCCATGGTAACATGAGCAGCGTGAGGAGGTGCAGCATCCTGATGGAACTTTTGTTGCTCCCCATCAACGTCCTCACACTCCCCGAGCTCCCCTCCATCTGCTGCTTTGTTTCAACAATTGTGAAACACCCTTTAAGTTCAATTTGAACAGCTTCTTCCCAAGAACTGCTGCTTTGTAGAACAGACTCCCGGTAGGATGCTTTCCCAATCGCTATAATTTTGACCCCTATTCAAATATAGGATTAACCATTATAAATCCCTTCTTGCCTTTCGTTATGCTCACAAAACACCACACAGTGACCATCTACCTTGACAGGCTCTTGGGTTTTGTATTGGGTTAACATTAGTATAAAAAATAAAGAACACTTACATTAAATAGAATATCTTTCTCCACAAGAGATGTTATATTAACGTGTGTATAAAATGTTTACTATATGTACAATATATTTAATATGCATACAAGAATTAAAAACGCATATAAAAAGAAATTGATAGCTACTCTTCTGTTTAACTATTACTTGTGACATCATTTTGAATTGGTTACAGTTCCAGCATTCTGAAGATCCCAGAATTTAGGCAGAAAATATTTCCTACTTGTTATGGTGAATTCTATAGTTAATAGACTCTCCCACCTAATATAAGTATGAGTATTAAGAGAAACGAGGGTCAGTCGATGTCGGACGACCGGCTGAACGGTTGAACTCTCTGCCTTCGGGCGGGGAGGAACCCGAACGGGGCTATGCCGAAGGGCAGAGTCTCGTTCAGGGAGGTAAACCGACCCTGAACCCGTACAGGGCATATTTTTGGCCGAGCCCACGGGCACGGAAATCCCACGTTAAACCGGCCTTGTGCCACATGATACTCTCGTCGGGGGGGGTGACTAAATACTAGTCGATGTCGGACGACAGTAGTCGACAGTTTGTCGAATACGAAAGTAGTCAGCGACCACAACAAGATTACTCTGCGTAATACCTATTATATCAAGTTCCTAACGTTTTGTACGTCGAACCTATTTTAGGACCGATTTAGTACAAATACAAGCATCCACTGCGAAATAACCCCACAACACTAATATATCGACATTACCTAGTTCTTGATAATAAATGAGATATTTGAAAGTATTTGAATTAAAAAAAATTAAATTCGACAGTTTATTCATAATTTCAGCCTCCTGATCTACATTTGGAAAATGGAACAATATAATAAAAATTAAATAGACAGACCTTTTTTGATAGTTGAAGTTAAGAAAATTTGTCTGGATACCCATTCTCTTTGTATTCCATTAGTAAGGATGAAGTTTCACTCATACAGCTTCTTCCCAAGAATTGCTGATTTGGGGAGCAGACTTCCGACTGGAGGCTTTCCCAATCACTACAATCTTGACCTTTTCAAATCGAGGGTTAACCGTTATCATTCCTGCATAGCGCCATGAACACCTTACCTTTTTTTACGCTCATAAAACCCTCACAAAGTATTCATCTACCTTGAGTGGCTCTTGGGTCTTGTATTGGGTGAACATTAGTATACAAAATATAAACAATGTGGGTCATTATTTAAAGAAGTAAGAGAGTACAAATGAAGAGATCCAATATTGAAAAAGCTTTTAATTTTATTGAAGCAGACATTAAAAGCATGAGAGCGTTATCACCTCCTCTATCTTCCCCTTATTTCTGTCTTCCTTTTGCTTACGGCCATATCACGTTGAAACACCGGTTCTAGCATGATCACCGAAGTTAAACAACGTCGGACCGGGTCAGCGTTTAGATGGGAGATCATTTGGCAATACCAGTTGGTGTAAGCCTGTAAGTGCAGGTGGTGCAAGAGATAAAGGCTTGAGCGTCAATTCAAGTCGCGTTCGCTATATTCAGTTACGCGTATACCCTTTAGGAAGGTAAGAATTCACCACTTCTCCCCACTGCTATGGGTTAAATAGTAGGACTTGCTTCAGTAAAAGATTATTATCTCCCAAAATATTCTTACAATCTTAAAATATTTTCTGGCTTTTAATAAACTGAAAAAGGTTGATAACAAATCAAGTAATTATATATTAAAGACATTTTTATGTTTAACGTTCTTTTTTATAGATACAAGTATTTAAGTAAAGAACGTTAAACATAAAAATGTCTTTAATAAATAAATTGTCGGACTTTGTCCATTTCTTAATATATAAAATCAAGTAATCTTTCTTTTTCTCACTAAAACCAAACAGCATCTCTGATAAATATTTTTCTTCCGATTTTCCTCGCAATAAAAACTGAATGGTCCATTATTTATCTGAGGCAATGACGTGTGCTAAATTAATAACGAAAAAACAAAAAGAATTTTGATTGGGTTTAAATTTAAGAAAGTGTTTATTACGAGTTATTGTTAAAAGTTTAATGAATCATCTGAACGAAACTTATAGATGTTTCGAGAAACCGTAATCCATATAGAATTCTCTATATCCGCTATGTGCTTTGGTATATACCCCCCCCCCCCGCGGATAAGAGGGGTACTACTCTTCCCAGGAAGATAGTGTAGGAGGAGCCAATGACGATGGGAATAAACAAGAGAATGCAAGAGGGAATAAGAACGGAAGGAGTACAAATGAAATAATAAATGAAAGAAATAAATGAATGAATAAACAAGCCCGTATGAAAATAAAAGCAAGAAAAAAAAAATGTGTATAGCCAGCATCACCGAAATGTAAAGTCGTGGAACATTTAACGCTATTTGAAAAACTACGCCAAATGATCCGGGTTGAACGATAGCCTCTCCCCCGGGGGTCCGTCGAACGGGGATAGCCGGGCACGAACACTAAGCTCTGAAACTGTCATTTCAAGCGTAGTAGCCCTGCCTGAAAAATTACATTTAGGCAAACAAAGCCCCGACTGACCGATCACAAACCACTATCCCCCGTGGAATGATAAAATAAATAAATCACAAAAAAAAAAAATCAAATACACAATTATATATATATATATATATATATATATATATATATATATATATAGAGAGAGAGAGAGAGAGAGAGGAGATTAGTCTATATATATATATATATATATATATACAGAAAGAGAGATTAGTTTATATATATATATATATACAGAAAGAGAGATTTATATATATATATATATATATATATATATATATATATATCTTTGAAATCGGGTCTACATATTAATCTCTATATACATATAACTAATAATCAGATGAGACACAATATGAATTGATAACTACTACTAGCCTAACAAAAGCAGTGATAAAAATTACTTCTATTTAGCTACTAGTAGTGATACCCAACGTTGTCCGGTCCAAGTTTATCATTTTGTGTAATTCGCTACACATTCAACGCATTTATTTTTTATTTAAGAGGTTTGCATGCCAAATGTCTAAAAAGGTATTAACGAAAGTCTCTTAATTAAAGCTGTTCTTCGACAGGTTTAAAAAAAATTGTTTTCATATGTACATTTAATATATTTTCTGTTTATACATTATTTTAATAGATACAATTTATTTAAGCAAAGCTCTGATTTTTGTTTTTTAATAACCAGTATTGATTACATTTACTGGTCTGAATGTTCGAGAAATTTCGTAGATAATATGTGTTTTCCGAAAGGGATACGAACCTGTGACCTATACGGAACCGTCAATTGAATGCTGGGATATACCACTCACCTACAAAGAAGAGTCTGATTAGCAAAGTCAAAATTACTGATTATAATCAACAAAACTTCGACGATCTTTCCCGAATCTTTTCAAATTTAAAAATAGTATCTATTAAAATAACGTATGAACAGAAATTTCTTAATTAATTTTCGTATTTATATATATATATATATATATATATATATATATATATATATATATATATGACTGTTTTTGAAAATAAAACATTCTATAATATAATACTAAATACATACATACAACAATCTATTTCCAGTTAACAGTAAATATATGTCATCCTTGAAAATGGCTAAATGTATAGACGAAAGTGCTCGGAAAAAAACATTTAGACAGTTTTGTATAATTTATCTACTGAAAAGAAAAAAATTATAACATCATATGAGAAATTTCTGAAAAACTTAATCAAAGCATCTTGTCTGTCATAAGCTTGAATGAAAGAAGGTTTGCTACCTAAATACACAATTTTATATATATATATATATATATATATATATATATATATATATATATATATATATATATCCAAGTATAGGATTGGTGTATACGGGATAAATTCCAATAGCCAAAAATACTATTCTTAAAAGAGTGCTCAATACAGAGCAAGTATAATTTATTCGAAAATTATAACATAAATATGTTATAAAATCACTACTAAAATAGACGTTTTGTTTCAACACTTCTGGCGTCTTATCAAGTAATGTTGATTGTGTTCTGGTGTCTTATCCTATTTCCTACTATATTGATATGCTGGGATATACCATTCACCTACAAAGAAGAGTCTGGTTAGCAAAGTCAAAATTACTGATATAATGGTTTATTTCGTTACATATTTAGATTTCAATTGTTTAATGTCCGTACATTCTAAAGTTTGAGTTTTTTTTCTGTTACTTTGATCTTCTCATTCTGAGATAACGCGTTTCTGAGCTGTCCTTCTACTTTTCGTGTTGTCAGTCTCTTTATTTTTTTTTCCTAAATTTCTTATCATTTCATTGATGTTGTGTTGCTTTTTCTATTTTAGTTTTAATGCTTCTAATATTTGTAGGCGTTTTTTTTTTCTGTTATTGGCAAATAGTTGTTGGATATATTGTTTCTGATACACAATTTAATAAATAGAACACATTTAAAACACTCTGTATAATATTTCTTAATGAACTGAAAAACAAACATTAATGAAGAATTATTTCCCTCTCAGATAATAATAATAATAATAATAATAATAATAATATATATTGGTTTCCCAAACACTATATTATCGTGCCGGTTAACTTAACATATATCTGATAGCAGCTCAGTTAAATATCATATCACCAACCAGCCCAAATAAAAAAAAGCAAAAAAAACAAAACCAGAAATGTCTTTGCGGGTAGAATCATATTTAAATACATCTACTGTCTTTAGTCTTTGACATAATTTGCGGGACGATAAACTCCGTGGTAATATATCATGTGGAGAGCTGTCTGGAGATTTAGTGGCACACTGTGCACTTTTTCTCAGTTATCGATCCTTCCAGACAAAATGTGTCGCTGGTTCTAACAAAGATTCACTAATCAAATCAGATAGTTCCGTGGTTCCATTAAAAAAAAAACTGAACATACGTTGATATCGACATGAAATATTGCATATATATATATATATATATATATATATATATATATATATATATAAGAAACAAATTAATAAAAGTACGAATACATACATAAACACAATTTAATAATAATAATAATAATAATAAAATATGTGGTCGCACGGTATTGACCTTAGTGTCCAATTTTATACACCTTTGTGCAAATTAATTGAAACAACCGCTTTAGTTGCCTTTCTTTCATCATACGGTCAGTTTTAGACCCACTGGAGTGACAGGGTGTAATCAAATTTCTGTTTTTTCCTTAGGTAATTTGCAGTGGTGTGCAGTAATATTGAATCTCTTTTCGGGGGTATATGATGAAATTTGTTTAGCGTTGAAAAATATTGCGTCATCCGTGATTGAATCAGATTTTTATCAAGCAGAGACACTGATGTCACGATTGTCGATTAGTTGTCTTACGACCATTTTCTGCGTTTGGCGCTATTCCAAGGAATAAATTCAAAGTACTTTCGTCTGACTTGGAAACTCTCCTGATTTAAATCCAATCGAGAATCTGTGGTCAGTCTGCAAGGAACGACTTCGTGCAATGGACATACAAAGTACTAACATGTGCACTGGGTCATGTTTCATTGGGAAATACCAAAAATATAAATAACAACGGAATTATTTGTTTTGTTTCAATTAATTTGCACAAGGGTGCATTTACATACTCTCTATGTCTGATATTGAGCTCTTTAACCCATAAGTATAGTATATCTAAAAACTGTATTTTAATCACACACACACACACACACACACACACACATATATATATATATATATATATATATATATATATATATGTATGGATATATATATCTTTTAATCCTATTTAAGTTTTTTAATGAAACATGCATTAATGAAAAAATGCTGCCTAAATACACACAATTTAAATTATATGATCCAGCAGCCCAACAAACTATCAACACTTGGAATTATAAATGTAGCCTTGTGAAAAGGCAAATTGAAATAGCCAAAGAAAAATTGAACTATCTTAACAGCAACAAACAGGACATCTGTTTAATATATTGTAATGTAACTGCCATCTTTGATAATGGATTATGTAAGCCGAAAGCTTAGATAGGATTAAAAAATATGTATCAATATTGTGATTTTCTTTCTTCGTTTAATGATAATGTTATTAAGCTTATCAGACGATATGAAAAGAATTTAGATAAAATAGACAAAACTTGTTTATATTATTTAATGGAACATGAATCAGTATATACATACATATATATATATATATATATATATATATATATATATATAAAACATTGGGAGAATATTCGGTTGAATATTTATAATCATGGTCGTCAACATGTCACATGGGATTAAAAGTAATTGTACTTTTAAAAGTGATTCTTTTATTTTTTTTTTAGGTTGGAGTTTTTTTTTTTTTTTTTTCATTTCTTCACAGTTTTGTGACTCACTTTTATACATATTGTCTTATCGAATTTTTCTTTTATTTAAACGCGTCAGACTGTGAATCTGAGCGTGATTTGCTATAGGTCGGTCAATCGGTCGGTCGGTTGAGCCTGGAGACTCCCGGAGGAGTCTAGGGACACAGCCTCACCACACCACGTGGCGCTGCTGTGGTTTCAGTAGCAAGTAGCTACTTACGGGGAGGAGTTACTAGCCCCACGGCCGACCAGTTTTGAGGCGTATTTCCTCAATATACGCCTCTGAAATTAACATTTTCTATAAGATTTTTGGTAAATATTTTTTAGTACTAAAATATTAAAAAAATATGTATATTAGCTTTAGATTACCCCCCTCCCACCATTCTCTCTCTCATGACATGTCAAGTATTCTATGGAGATATTGGTAACGACTTGCTTACTTTATATGTATAGTCTTACCATGAAAAAATATAATTTATTACATTTAATTTTGGAAGTTCAATTTATATAATAAATATCGAAGTTATTTTGCGCTGCTTTATTAAATGGGTGTTAAAATATTTAATTTTTTATTTCTTTCTATCTCATTCTCTTCATATCTATCTATCTATCTATCTATCTATCTATCTATCTATCTATCTATCTATCTATCTAATTCTCTTCATATCTATCTATCTATCTATCTATCTATCTCATTCTCTTCATAACTATCTATCTAGCGAGCTCTGTCTCTTAATATCTATCTATCTATCTATCTATCTATCTATCTATCTATCCTATTCTGATCATTATCTCTCTATGTAATTTTGCTCAATATCTATCATGTTCTGTTTCTTTCTATCTATCTATCTATCTATCTATCTATCTATCTATCTATCTATCTATCTATCTATCACGTTCTGTTTCTATCTATCTATCCCGTTCTGTTTCTATCTATCTATCTATCTATCTATCTATCTATCTATCTATCTATCTATCTATCTATCTATCTAATTCTCTGCATATCTATCTATCTATCTATCTATCTATCTATCTATCTATCTATCTATCTCATTCTGTTCATATCTATCTATCTATCTATCTATCTATCTATCTATCTATCTATCTATCTATCACATTCTGT